GTTATCTTCTTTGTTGTGAACGATTTAAAGATAATTTCTTGAGATAGCTTCCTGTTTATTTGTAGTGCTAGTGTTTTGACATTTTTTTATTCGTATTACTTAGAGTAATAGTGATATTATGGTTTATTAATACTAGTGTCTTTATTGTTTTTGTTGCCACTAGTAACCACTTATGTATCAGAACAAATATGTCTGCTCTTAATGGTTTTGTAAATTATCAAAATTATTTTGGATATGAATTTATGCTTGCATCACTAAGTCTAATGGTTTGTATTCTCATTGCATCAAAATTATTCTTAATTTGAATGTTAAACGGGGATCCTCGTTACCCCGTTGGGATACCCGCAGACCCGATAGTTTTTGGTAAACGGGTACCCGCTGGGAATCGGGTTGGTGATGGGATCGATTTTCATATTCAGGGACGGGGGCGAGATTAATAAAACCCGTCCCAAACCCGCCCCGTTGCCATCCCTAACGGTCAAGGGTAAAGGAAGAATTTCAACTTTGGGGCGTATTTAGGAGAGACCAGTGCATTTTTTTTGTCTATATTTGAAGGAAGAAAGAGTTTTGTCCATAATAAATCCCTCCTTAATAGAAACATTATAGAAATGGTACATATCCTTTATAAAATCACATAAATAGTCCCTATATAATAAAGGTTTTGTAAAATGGTTCCTATACTTCAAAAAAGTTACAAATGTGTCACTGCTTGAGCAAAGTTATAGAATTCATTCATGTGTTTCATAAAGTTACAGAAACAGTCCCCTACCTAATAAAAAGTTTAAAGATGGTATCGAAAATATATAATTAACAAACTCGCTCCAACACACAAGTTAACATACTAGTTCCTTTTATTTTACAAGTTTGCTTCCAATGTTTATAGCCCCTCTTCATTGCTTCATAAACATCATCATCGATTTTGATGCCACCGATCATATATGATCTAATAGATTTTCTTTTTGTTCACGAAAAAACTCACTTAGCCGCACTACATTGGTTATTCGAATGGTAACGATTGTTAGATGCATTATAACTCATCTTTTACACATCTATTCCATTCATTTAATTCATATTTTGGCTTTAAATCTCATGTATTTTGTATATTTCGGGACTATTATGTAATTTGGGTAATTTGTTCACTTGCACACTTTTATATGATTTTTCAGATGGTTCGAAGTTTTGAATGTGCTTTATAGGATGTTAGGAAGTTGCATTTTAAATTTCATAAAGATCGGAGCTGATATGTAAAATTCGAAAATTTTGAAGATTCGGAAATCGGTAATTTTCACTTGGCTAAGTCAAATTTTCCTTGAAAGTGTCTCGGTCGAGTCGGGGTCAAAAGCGTTATAAAGTCAACAAAAGTAAAAAAAAACATGATTTTGGTCCTCCTGAAGGTTGATTCGGTCGAGTCAACTCATAGGGCAATTTTGACTCGATCGAGTCAAGCATTACATGGGGCCCAAGCTTCCTAAAACCTATATAAACACAACCTAAGTCGTTATCTCGATCAGATCTGGTTTTTGGACGTTCAAGATGAATTTTGGAGAATTTGGACGTTAAAGAACATGTTTTGGAGATGTTCATCATATTTTTATCATTTAATTTTTAAACCTTCTATCAATTACATCTTTGAACTTGTGTTTTAGCCATGCTGGGCTAAAAACCTTTTCTGTTGTAGTTCGTAATTCTATGTTTTTGACTTGAATTTTCCTAGAGATTTATGTTTTGGTTTTAATATAGTGCTTGAATTTATTCATTTTTTCATATAACGGTAGCATGAATTAGTTTAATTTGAGTAAAGTTTGTTAGGTTGTAATGATTTGTAATTGTCTAATGAATTAACACAAGTAACAAACAACGATTGGCTTTAACTTCAGATTTAATACATTGTAAACATAAACTCACATACTTTTACGCTTCTGAGGTGATGAGAAGTACTATATATTGTTGGGAAACTTGTAAGAAATTTAATGCGACTTTTCAATCAAAATCTAGGAGCTTGTCTAGATTAAGGTTAGTGAATTTAGGTGTAATTAAAAAGCTTTTTTTTAGTTAGATAATTTGACAAGTAAAATAATATTAGAATTTCTCAATATTTCTTAGTAAAAACTTAAGTTAAAAACTATCTAAACATCAATTCACGATCAACTGCATGTAGTCGGATCGAACACTGAATTGACTCAAAATTTGTTTTTCTTAAAAATCTCAGTCATTGCTTTACTTTATGCAATCAGCCATCTTAGTTTCTTTTTAGTTAATTAAAAAACCCCCATTTTGTGTCAAAGTCCTTATACCTTATGCAAATAGGTATTTTACAATAGTTCTATGTCCATGCGGATACAATCCCTACTTTAGCTATAATAACCTTTGGTATAAATATCATTATTTTTTATGCCCCCTAATATTTATTAGTTTGACAACTTAACAAATTAGCGGCATTGTTAATGACACGATAATACTAATTGGTTTATGCCAAGATCTTTAAGCAACAGATGAAATTTCATACTTATGTAGCTTTTTAAAAATCTTTCGCAACTTAAAGTAACTACGCGACCACAAATAACTCTCCCACGCGTATTTGTCATACAAGGAAATAAAATAGGTTTTTAAATAACATAATGTATAAATCACATTTTTCTAAACTTTACAAACTATTTTTATATTTTATACCTATTCCAATTGCACCGGTCCTCGACTAGTGTGAGGCAACCAACAATTATCTTCTCATTTATCTCTTTCTTTATAAACTCGTCATAAAGAATGTATAACTAGCATACTATTATGATGCATTAGTGATTTGTATCACCAATATTATTTAAGTGTAATGAGATGAACTTGTTGATCAATATAATCTTAATAAATATTGAACAAGTCACGGAGGTACGGAGTGCACACTTGTTTGAGTTTACTCAGATTTAAAGTACATTGTTATTTATGATGGGTTATGAGCATAACAACAAACATATGTGTTCATGCAACCCTAATTGCTTTGGATCTAAGTTTTTCACTAGTTGAACATTTAAATTTGAATACCAAAGAAAAAACCCCAGATCTAGCATATGTAAATCAAAAATTACATATTAAAAGGGTTTTGATCTTTACCTTACTTGTTATGTAGTAATAACATGAAACCTTTGTAACATCCATAAAATTTCAATAAAATTTAAACTTTTCAAAACAACCCATTTATTAAAGAGGTGTTTACAAACCGTTATTTCCAAAAACCTTTATTTAAAACCGGAATCATTTACACATAGTTTTCAAAACTATAACGTTATCAGAGTATCCTAGAAACCATAAGTTCCAAAAACACGAGGATGTGTACGGTCATGCCTTCACCTTGCCACGATCCACTGAAGTACCAGAAACCATAAACCAAAACTGTAAGCACGAAGCTTAGTGAGTTCCCCCAATGTACCAACACCCAACATATAACATATACAAAAAACATCATGCATACTGAGCCTTCAGCCTGACTGGACCGCCTCGCAGGACCTACAACCTATCTGGACCGCTCTCGAGCCTTCGGCATGACTGGACTGCCTCGTAGGGCCTACAGCCTATCCGGACAGCTCCCGAGCCTTCGACATGACTGGACCGCCTCGCAGGGCCTACATCATATCCGGACCGCTCGTCGGGCCTTTGGCCTAACTGGACTGCCTCGTAGGCCTTTAGTCTATCCAGGCCGCCCTGGGTCTGTTAGCCTTCAGCACACAGCAGGGCCGCCTCAACCTAACCACACACACACATGTCGACATATACATAACTCATAATCGCATAATCAATCAGCAGGCAAGCACAATTCATACAGATCAATAAGCATAGCATCATCCTATCTACCGGGATACCGATCTAACAGATCATAACAACATAGAAACATCCTATCTACCAGGATACCGATCTAACAGATCATAACAACATATAGGCATACGATAACTAAGATAACAATCCAAAGGGCCTGTCTTAGTGCCTTTGACCCTTAAGTACAGTGAGGAAAACTCAACTCACACTGCCGAATCATACAGACGATCCCTGGCTACAAATACTAAGCTAACACTCCATCAACAGTTGCTCCCTCGAATGATCTCTGACTGTAGAACCGCTAGAGCCCGCGCTATCAAATAGCACAAATGACAACCCATCAGTAACTAGCTCATGACTCACACCATAAGTACAATTTAGGGTAAAAGACCTTTTCACCCTTCCTCAAACTTGGCCCAAGACTAAGGCCCAAACTAAAAGACAAAAAGCCCAATATCCAAAATAAGCCTCTAAGGCCCAATTATGGCCCAATTTTCCAAATTGGTCCCAATCCCTTTCATGGCCTTCACTCAAGAAAATCCAACAAGAAAAAAGCCCAAACCATAAAATCCAGATGAACCAACATGGACCAAGGCAAACCGAGTCCATAACTGAAGCTCAAAACAATTAAGCCCACTTCAGTCGCGTACGTAGGGCGTACACCGGAGGTACGCTCCCTATGCAGGCCGTACCCTCGCAGAATGTACTCCAGAATCATAAAGTCTCAAACTTCAGATCCATGGTCCAAATGTACTCTAGAATCATAAAGTCTCAAACTTTAAGACTTTAGAAGTCCAAAAAGCCCTTAATACATGGTCTTAATCTGTTAAGACCTTCCACAAAGAACATGGAGTCAAACTAGCTCAAGGGACCTAGTTTTTATAGCTTAGAACCCTTCCTAAGGTATGAAAGGACAGCTCAAATCGTCCAAAACAAAGCATGCATGTCAAGGGGACTTTTTGG